TTGCACTTGGTCCGAGGACCAGGCCCATACGTTTGCACTTGGTCCAAAGACCAGGCCCATACATCTGCACTTGGTCCGAGGACTAGGCCCATACGTTTGCCTTTCACTTCTATTTCACTTCACTTCTCTTTCCACTCACTCATTTTCACCTGACTCTATTCCTCCTCACTTTCTTCTACCTCACTAAAATTGTTCTTCACTCTATTTCCCCTCACATCCATTTCTCCTCACTACCACCCCGCCTCACTTTCTTCCCCTTCACTTCATTTCAGTTCACTTGTATCCCCTCTCACTCACTTTCCCCTCACTTCCATTCCCCTTCATCCCTGTCCCCCTCACTACATTTCCCCTCACTTATATTTCCCCTCACTCGTTTTCCCCTCACTTTGTTCCCCCTCACTCCATTCCCCCTCACTACGTTTCCCCTCACTTTGTTTCCCCTCACTTTCATTTCCCCTCACTCTCCCCCCCTCACTACGTTTCCCCTCACTCATTTTCCCCTCACTTTCATTTTGTGTGATGCTATCATCGCATTCACGTCTGTCTGCCTCCCATCAAATGTTTGTGCATTGCATGCGTGGTGTGAGCGTGTGCAAGAATTTGTGTTTTGCGCGGTTTGGATTTTCTGAGTGTGTGTGAATGCTATCTTGCTTGAGCAGTTATCTGAAGTGACTCATCTGCTCGAGAGCTTTCCGACGAACCAAGAATCGTCGCGATCGGAGCAAGAACAAGAAAGTTACGAACGTTGGAGTTCGTATGCTTTCTGTACTTTGGTTGCGGCGACTATTGGAGCCTGTTGGGTTGACTCAATATGGGGTACAGACTTTTGGGGGTTGGGAAATTCGTCCCCATCACTGTAGATGCTGCCAAACATTTGGGTGAAACCAAACCAGGTTGGCAAGTGTGGCCAAGTTGGGTTGAGGTGGATTGTGGAGGTTGGGATAGTGACAAAGGTCAAAGTTGGGTTGCCTATGGGGAAGGGAATTGTGTGGTATGGGGTTTCCTTGGTTGGGGACTCCCTTGGGACCTTCCCTCTTGTCCTCCTCTTCCCTCCCACCTGGTTTCTTGGTACTCTAATCTTCTTTGTGGATCTTGTGAGAACTTGTGAGTTAATTGTGATTGAGTTAAACTTGTGTGGCAGCATACCCCCTAGTGCGCCGAAATTCATAACTCGAGATTTGGTTCACCTTTTGATGTGATTAAAAGTGGGAATTGTAGCCACGGTCCAGGGCTACAACATATTTGGGTTTCGTGAGATTCCATCAATGAACGTTTCGTCGACGACGTTTCTTGTGAAGTCGCGGTTTCTGTCCAGAAAGAAGGACTGACGATTTTGAGATACTTCGGCCCTCAATCTTAATAGACTTAGTCCTTAGTCTTTAACATTTCATTCCCTCTCACTCCACTCCCCCTCACTTCATTTCCCCTCCGTTCCATCCCCCCTCACTCGTTTCCCCTCACATATATTTCCCCTCACTCATTTTCCCTCACTTTCATTCCCTCTCACTCCATTCCCCCTCACTTCATTTCCCCTCACTTCCATCCCCCCTCACTTTATTCCCCCTCACTTCAGTTCAGCTCACTTGTATCCCCACTACCTCAATTTCCCCTCACTTCCATTCCCCTTCATCCCTGTCCCCCTCACCTTGTTTCGACTCACTTTCATTCCCCCTCACTCTGCCCCCATCACTACATTTCCCTTGTATTTCCCCTTGCATATTTTCCCCTCACTTTGTTCCCCCTAACTTGTTCCCCCTCACTCTATCCCTCCTCAATTTATTTCCCCTCACTAAAATAGCCCCTCACTCTATTTCCCCTCACTTCTATTTCCACTCACTCGTTTTCACCTCACTCTATTCCTCCTCACTTTCTTTCACCTCACTAATATTGTCCTTCACTCTATTTCCCCTCACTTCCATTTTCTCTCACTTATATTTCCCCTCACTCATTTTCCCCTCACTCATTTTCCCCTCACTTTCATTCCCTCTCACTCCATTCCCCCCTCACTTCATTTCCCCTCACTTCCATCCCCCCTCACTTTCTTCCCCCTCACTTCATTTCAGCGCACTTGTATCCCCTCTCACTCACTTTCCCCTCACTTCCATTCCCCTTCATCCCTGTCCCTCTCACTTTGTTTCCCCTCACTTTCATTTCCCCCCACTCTCCCCCACTCACTACATTTCCCCTCACTTGTATTTCCCATCTCTATTTTTCCCCTCACTTTGTTCTCCCTCACTCCATTCCCCCTCACTACATTTCCCCTCACTTTGTTTCCCCTCACTTTCATTTCCCCTCACTCTCCCCCCTCACTACGTTTCCCCTCACTCATTTTCCCCTCACTTTCATTCCCTCTCACTCGACTTCCCCTCACTTCATTTCCCCTCCGTTCCATCCCCGCTCACATTCTTCCCCCTCACTTCATTTCAGCTCACTTGTATCCCCCCTCACTCACTTTCCCCTCACTTCCATTCCCCTTCATCCCTGTCCCCCTCACTTTGTTTCCCCTCACTTTATTTCCCCTCACTTGTATTTCCCTTTACTCTTTTTCCCCTCACTTTGTTCCCCCTCACTCCATTCCCTCTCACTACATTTCCCCTCACTTTCTTTCCCCTCACTTTCATTTCCCCTCACTCTCCCCCCCTCACTAATTTTCCCCTCACTCATTTTCCCCTCACTTTCATTCCCTCACACTCCACTCCCCCTCACTTCATTTCCCCTCCGTTCCATCCCCCCTTACTCGTTTCCCCTCACATATATTTCCCCTCACTCATTTTCCCCTCACTTTCATTCCCCCTCACTCCATTCCCCCTCACTTCATTTCCCCTCACTTCCATCCCCCCTCACTTTCTTCCCCCTCACTCTAGTTCAGCTCACTTGTATCTCCAATCACTCAATTTCCCCTCACTTCCATTCCCCTTCATCCCTGTCCCCCTCACCTTGTTTCGACTCACTTTCATTCCCCCTCACTCTGCCCCCATAACTACATTTCCCTTGTATTTCCCCTCACATTTTTTCCCCTCACTTTGTTCCCCCTCACTTGTTCCCCCTATCTCTCTTCCTCCTCAATTTATTTCCCCTCACTAAAATAGCCCCTCACTCTATTTCCCCTCATTTCTATTTCCACTCACTCGTTTTCACCCCACTCTATTCCTCCTCACTTTCTTCCACCTCACTCCTTCACTCTATTTCCACTCACTTCCATTTCCCCTCACTTATATTTCCCCTCACTCATTTCCCCCTCACTCATTTTCCCCTCACTTATATTCCCTCTCACTCCATTCCTCCTCACTTCATTTCCCCTCACTTCCATCCCCCCTCACTTTCTTCCCCCTCACTTCATTTCAGCTCACTTGTATCCCCCCTCACTCTGCGGAGATAACTACTACAACGGGAGCTAGACTATGGGCTAGGCACGGGTGCTCGTGTGATCTCTGCGTTCCTTAGTCGTTTTCCTAGTGCACACACTGCTTGCTAGTTCACGGGGCAATTTGGCAAGAGTTTCACTAGGAAAGGTTTTCAACAATGGTACAATGAAGTTGGCAAGACTAGACTACATCAGAGCTAGCATGCAAGCAAGTCTACTGCCAGCGCAGCACGGTCGACCGTGTGCCAGAAGGACTTGGTCGACCGCGCTCCAGCAGTGCAGAGGCGCGGCTTGCCAGTGCTGCAAGTCGACGGCGTGCCAACGTCGCAGGTTGATGGTGTGCCAACGTTGCTCCCGCAGGACAGCAGCGCACCCGCTTCGCAGGTGCTCGCAGATGATTGGCGTGCAGTGCCTCGTCACCTGCACAGCGCACACACCAAGTCAACCTGGCGCTGACAACTGCATCTGATCAGCCACGTCGACCTCGGAATACCACCACCGAGGTCGGACTCGCCAACTTCGCCTGGGCGACCGTCGCACTCCTCCGCAGAACCTCGTCACCCAGGTAACCTGGTCGACTGGGCAACCACGTTCACCAGCTGCTCCTGTATGTGCCGGTCGACCTCCCAAGTCGACGGCCACCTCCAGTCAACCTCCCCAGGTCGACCACTATGTTCGGTCGACCACCAGGTCGACTTCACGCCTGGTCGACCAACCACCAAGTCGACCAGAAGGCCTGGTCGACGTACCAGGTCGACCAGAAGGCCTGGTCGACCAACCAAGTCGACCAGAAGGCCTGGTCGACTTACCAGGTCGACCAGAAGGCCTGGTCGACTTACCAGGTCGACCAGAAGGTCTGGTCGACCAACCAGGTCGACCAGAAGGTCTGTCAGCCGACCACCCAAGTCGGCTACCCCAAGTTGGCGTCACCAAGTCGACGCCCTCCGCAGGTCGACTTCCCAGGTCGACCTTCCTGAAGTCGGCGCCATCCTGAAGTCGGCGCCCATGCAGTGGCACCCGTGCAGGTCGACTTCCTCGTCGACCAGCTCGCCCACTACTGCAGGTCGGCTGCACCCCTACACCCGACCACGAAGTCGGCTCCGCCCAAGCGAGGACGAGGCCAAATCACAACTCCCGTTGACACTCCCCTGCCGCGTTCACGCTTGGGCCCCCAGCCCACACGGCAGTACTTCTTCGGAGAAAAGCTCGTCGACGTGCACCCAATAAACAGCACGTCGTCCACCGCACCAGCCATGCAAGAGGGCATGGCACCTACTGCTGCACGTCGTCGTCGCCCACGTCTGGCTCAATGTCAGGTCTTCCCCTCCCCTCGTTCTCTACGAACTTGGTGAGCAACGCTGCCCTTCAGGATGTGGGGGTTAATACCTTCACCCCTGCATGGCAGCGTGTGGCGATCTGCACGTGCGCACGGACTGGCCGTCACCTGGCCACGTTCACACTTCGACCAGGGTCGAGTCTTTACACACGGACGACTGTGTCTCCTCAGGTAGCTGCTGTCGGTCAGGTGTCTGTGTGAGGTCTGGTAGCCTCCCCTTGTGAGTGTCGCTCCCTGTCGCACCAGACTCTTCTCTGGCACCACCGCCTGGGTCACCCCTCCTTGCAGCGTCTCCGTGGCATGCACCGTCGCCTCCTAGTGTCTGGTCTTCCCAGGTCTCTGCCTCCCCTTCCTGCCTCGCCTGCCCCACCCTGCCTTCCTTGTGTCGAGGGGCAGCAGCGCGCCGCTCCTCACTCCTCCTCGTTTCCCCCAATAGGGGCTCCTCTGCAGACCCTCCACCTGGACGTGTGGGGCCCAGCCCGTGTCCGTGGACAGGGCAGTGAGCGATACTTTCTGCTGGTTGTCGACGACTACTCGCGTTACACCACGGTCTTCCCCTTGCGCACCAAGGGTGAGGTCCCTGCTGTCCTGATCCCTTGGATCCGAGCAGTTCGTCTCCAGCTCCGCCGCAGGTTCCGTACGGACCTTCCTGTCCTGCGTCTGCACTCTGACAGAGGTGGTGAGTTCACCTCCGACCTCTTGCAGGCCTTCTGTCAGGGGGAGGGCATCGAGCAGTCGTTCACGCTTCCGGGCTCACCGCAGCAAAATGGGGTTGCTGAGCGCCGCATTGGCTTGGTCATGGAGATCGCTCGTACCTCCTTGATCCATGCGGCGGCTCCCCATTTTCTGTGGCCGTTTGCGGTCCGGTATGCCGCGCATCAGCTCAACCTCTGGCCCCGTGTCTCCTTGCCGGACACCTCGCCCACACTGCGTTGGACGAGGGAGGTTGGCGATGCGTCGCGCTTCCGGGTCTGGGGTGCTCGTGCCCTTGTCCGCGATACGTCCACGGACAAGCTCTCCTCCCGCACCATTCCCTGTGTCTTCCTTGGCTTTGTCCCTGACGCGCCTAGCTGGCAGTTTTACCACCCCACCTCGCGCCGTGTCTTCCCCTCTCAGGACGTCACCTTTGACGAGTCGGTTCCTTTCTACCGTCTCTTCCCCTACCGCACTGCCCCTCTCCCTCCCCCGCCGCTTTTCCTCGCTCCAGGTCCCCCTCCGGTAGACCCCCTCCCCCCTCAGGGTCCTGCTCCTTCAGGTGTGTCTCAGGTAGACCCACTCCCCTTGGCTGAGCCTTTGGAGGTCACTTCTGACACCTTTGGCCTAGCTGAGGGGGGTGACGTTGCTGCTGACGCCCCGGCGGCCTACCGCCGCACACCACGCTTGGAGACCCCTCCGGGTTTCCCGCCGCGACCGTCTTCGCCGCCTCTGCAGCCGGTTACTGTTGACTCTGGTGCTGCTGGGGGTGGTGCTACTCGGGGTGCTGCGTCTGGGGGTGCTGAGCCTGTACATGAGGTGCTGGGGGGTGTGGAGCCTGGGTGTGCTGAGCCTACGAGTGCGGAGCCTGAGGGTGCTGAGCTGGAGGGTGCCGGGTCGGGGGGTGCTGAGTCAGCTGGCGTTCCTCCGGGTCTCGTTTCCCGGCAGGGACCTCTCTCACTTCAGCAGCTACGAGAGTGGCTTGCGTGGCGTACCCGCCTGAGGCATCGTGTTGCTGGAGTTGGAGGTCCTGCTGCTCGAGGTACGGCTGCTCGAGGTGTTGCGGTTGGAGCTGCTGGTGCTGCTCGTCGTGGAGGCGCTGGGAGTGCTGGTGTTTCTGGTTCTGGAGGTGCTCGTACCGGAGGTACTGGAGCTGCCAGGACTGGTGGTGCTGCTGGTGCTGGTGGTGCTAAATCTGGGGGTACTGCTACTTGTGGTGTTAGTGTTCGAGGCACTGGAGCTGGAGACAGTGGTGCTGGAGGTGCTGGCCCTGGAGGTACTAGCACAGGGGGTTCCGAGTCTGCTGGTGCTGAGCCTAGGGGTGCTGAGTCTGCTGGAGGTCCTCCTGGTGCCGCGTCGCAGCGGTCACCTCTCTCGCCGCAGCAGCTGCGCGAGTGGCTTGCTTCGCGCACCCGCCTTCGGAGTCGCGCTGCTGGAGCTGGTGACGCTACTGCTGGAGGTGCCGGAGCTGGGGGCACTGGAGCTGGAGGCCCTAGAGCCGGTGTTGTCGACCCTGTAGCTGGAGACCCTGGAGCTGGAGGTGCCGGTTCTGGGGGTGCTGCTGCTGGAGGTACTGGGGCTGGAGACCCTGGAGCTGGAGGTGCCGGTTCTGGGGGTGCTGCTGCTGGTGGTGCTGGAGCTGGAGACCCTGGAGCTGGAGGTGCCGGTTCTGGGGGTGCTGCTGCTGGAGGTACTGGGGCTGGAGACCCTGGAGCTGGAGGTGCCGGTTCTGGGGGTGCTGCTGCTGGTGGTGCTGGAGCTGGTGGTGCTGGCGTTGGGGGCGCTGGCGCTGGAGGTTCTAGAGCTGCTGGAGGCGCTGGAGCTACTGGTGCTGGTGGCACTGCTCAGCCGCGGCTGTTCTTCGCTCCACCGTCACTGTCGTCTCTACCACCGCCCGACTCCGGGCTTCGCCAGGTTCTTAGCCTCCCGTCTTCTACTGGCCTCCTGTTACAGCCAGGCTCCACACTGCCTGCTCCTCCTCCTTACACTGAGCAGACAGACTCGCTTACAGAGCGTCGTGAGCCTGCGTCTCGTCTTGCCTCGCCTGTTCGCACTAGTCGCACTAGTCGTCGTGTTCCTCGTGAGCGTCCGCCTCCTGTCCCTGGCACGCACACTATGGCACTTCGTCCTTCCTCTGTTCCACAGCGTGTTCCCCTGCCGTCTCCTCCTGAGTCCTCTCTTCCGCACGTTCCGGACCCTGAGTCTGACCTGGTTCGTGCTGCTCACCCTACTGTCACGCGTCTGTTAGCTACTGTTGTCACTGACCCGTCGTTTGAGTCTGCTGTTGCGTCTGCCTTAGTCTCTGAGCTTGTTGACTTTGCTGCTGCTTGTCATCTCGACTACGCTACTAGTCTAGTTGCTGAGTCTGAGTTTGTCTGTCCTCCGTCCGTCGGTGGTGAGTGTGCTCTTGGCACGACCGTCCTTGAGAACACGCAGGAGGACTTTGAGTGTCTTGCGGCTGCTGTACCTCATCTCGTGGCCATGCTGCTTGCCCCTGAGGGAGACCCGGATGCACCAGACATCCCAACCCCGCGCTCTTACGCAGAGGCGATTACGGGTCCCTACTCCTCTCAGTGGCAGACAGCCATGGACGCAGAGGTGGCATCCTGGAAGTCCACAGGCACTTACGTCGATGAGGTTCCCCCTCCTGGGGCGAACATCGTCGATGGCATGTGGATTTTCAGGGTGAAGCGGCCGCCGGGTTCTTCGCCTGTCTTCAAGGCTCGTTACGTTGCACGAGGCTTCAGTCAGTGACAGGGAGTTGACTTCTTCCAGACCTTCTCCCCCACCCCGAAGATGACCACTCTTCGAGTGCTGCTGCACGTTGCCGCTCAGCGTGACTACGAGCTTCACTCTCTGGACTTTAGCACAGCTTTCTTATAGGGCAGTCTGCACGAGGAGATCTAGCTGCGCCGCCCACCTGGCTTCACTGGGTCGTTCCCTCCTGGTACCCAGTGGAGCCTCCGGCGGCCAGTCTACGGTCTCCGTCAGGCGCCTCGTGAGTGGCACGACACACTGAGGACGACACTTGCGGCTCTTGGGTTTGCCCCTTCCACTGCTGACCCGTCGCTGTTTCTACGCACTGACACTTCGCTGCCGCCGTTCTACATCCTCGTGTACGTCGGCGACTTGGTCTTGGTCCTTGCCACTGCTGACACTGAGGCACTGGCCCTTGTGAAGTCGGAGCTGCAAAAGAGACACACGTGCACAGACCTGGATGAGCTGCGCAGCTACCTTGGCTTGCAGATCACCCGGGACAGAGCACGCCGCACCATCACCCTGACTCAGTCACACATGGTGCAGCAGGTCCTTCAGCGCTTCTGTCTCACGATCGAATTTCCACTCGAGAATGTTGCACTAAAGGTGAGTACAAGGCGTATTTATACTCGGAAATACATAGAAACAAGTGATAATCCGAACCTTCGGGAACGCGCTCTTCTAGGATAGATAATCACTAGTGCGCATAAGCACGCAAGCCCATTGGCACATTGGATTATGGCGAGATTACGCCTTGTACACCACCGTCGGTGCTGTCGGTGCCGTATAATGTAATTGTCGGTGCCGAAAATACAAATAAGTGAAATAATCGGAAAGCTCTAGAAAATAGAATAGTAGTCCGATTGAGGTGAAATAAAGTGCAAATGAAAGAGGAAAATAAGGAGAATAAGATAGAGTAAAAATATGGAAATGAGAAATGTGTCGGACGTTGATGTACTCTTCCACTTCCCCCCCTCAAAGCTGGGTGGTAGACGTAACACCCTGCTTGACAAGATAGTCGCGAAGAGAACGTCGGGCGTTACTCATGTCTTCTTCAGAGACCCAGCTGTCCTCGGAAGGATCATAGCCCTTCCAGCGTATGAGAAACTCCAGGGCGCCATGCCGACGACGACGATGTGCAAGCACAGATTCGACCTCGTACTCAGGTTCATCATTGACGAGGACTGGAGGCGGCGGCGGAGGTTGGCGTCCCGTGTACAGCTTATTTGGATCCCGATAGGGTTTAAGAAGCTGTACGTGGAAGGCATTATGAATCTTCCAAGTAGCTGGTAGGCGCAAGCGGAATGTGACTGGAGTGACCTGCTCTTCTAAGAAGAAAGGTCCGCAGAAGCGAGGTCGCAACTTGGATGGAAGGTGACCGAGGTTGAGGTTGCATGTGTCAAGAAGCACATGGTCACCAACCGCAATGGTATGATCACGGCGATGGCGATCGGCTGAGCGTTTCTGTGAAGACTGGATGTCCTTCAGGCGCTTGTGTGTCCGATCCCAAAGCTGCTGCATTGTGGTAACGAAGTCGTGCGCGGGCTGGACGCTTGCAGGTACTGTTGGCTGCTGTGGAGTTAGCGGATGTCGACCGTAACAGAGGAAGAATGGAGTCTCTCCTGTTGCGGCATGCTTCGCATTGTTGTAGGCGAACTCCAACACCGGCAAGTGCAAGTCCCACTTGCTAACGTCGTCCTTGCACGCTGCGCGCAAGAGTTGTTCCACAATCTGGTTCAAGCGCTTTGTCCGCCCATCGGTCTGGGGATGATATGCAGATGACATCGCCAGGCGTGTCCCCATGAGCGACATGAGCTCTTTCCAAAACTTGCTAGTGAACTTGGGGTCCCTGTCGGATATGAGCGTTGTTGGGATCCCGTGCTGTGAGATGATGTGCTTGACGAACAGCTGTGCCGTTTCCTCCGTGCGTGCGGTTGTATGTGTCGGAATGAAGTGCCCCATCTTTGAGAATTTGTCGATGACGACCAGGATGGCGTCATGCCCCGCTTTGGTAGGTGGTAACCCAGTGATGAAGTCCAAACTCACCACTTGCCAAGGCTGTTCCGGGACGGGCAGAGGCTGAAGAAGTCCTGCTTTCTTCTGCTTACTGCTCTTCATCCGTTGGCACGTGTCGCACGAAGTGACGAACTTCTGCACGTCGTCTGCCATGTGAGGCCAGTAGTAGAACTTTGCAATTCCAGCAAGGGTTTTGTTACTCCCAAAGTGTCCAGCGTAGAGCATATCGTGGAATTCTTCGAGAAGCAACTGCCGAAGAGGCGGGTAGTTGGGTACCCATATCTTTGTTGATCCTTTGCGTAGTGCAATATCCTTGTCCCACTGCAGCAATTTCTTCTCTGCCAAGGGAATCTCGGGGTCGATGGTACCCGTGCGTGAAGAGTCCCTTGAGTAGCGGATTCATCCCCGCAACCTGTATGGCGGCAACGTGTCCAGGCCGGCTCAGTGCGTCTGCCTTATTCTTGTGTCCCGGCTTGTACACGATGTCATAGTCAAAGTGCGTCTAGAGGAAGTCGATCCACCTGACCTGTCGTCTGGAGAGAGTAGGCTGCGTCTTTAGGTACTTCAGACTACAGTGCTCGATGTAGACCGTGGTCTTCCTTCCTTCGAGGTAGCATCGCCATGTCTTGAATGCGGTGATGATCGCTAAGGCCTCTTTGTCGTGAATCGGGTAGTTGAGTTCTGCCCCGTGCAATTTCTTGCTGAGGTAAGCGATTGGTTGTAGTCCTTTCCCTTGGTCTTGCATCAAGACTGCTCCAACTGCTTGGTCGCTAGCGTCAGCTTCGATGACGTAGTCTTTTTCTGGATCTGGCAGGATCAGGACAGGTGCGGACGTGAGTGCAGTCTTCAATTGCTCCATGGCTTGCTGATGCACATCCTCCCACTTGAAGGGTGTATTCTTCTTCAGTAGATTGGTGAGAGGTGTAGCAATCTTCGCATACTGTGGCACGAACCGATTGTAGTAGTTCGCGAAGCCAAGGAATTGTTGAAGTTCCTTCACATTTTCTGGCGTCTTCCACGTACGTACGGCTTCGATCTTCTTCGGGTCGACATGCACTCCTTGAGCGCTCACCATATGTCCAAGAAATTGTACGTTCTTCAAGGCGAACTCGCTCTTAGATAGCTTGACGTAGAACTTCTCCCGTCGAAGTATCTCGAAGACACGTCGTAGGTGTTCTACATGCTGCTTCATATCCTTCGAGTAGATCAAGATGTCGTCCAGGTACACCACCACGCATTCGTCGAGTAGAGGCCTGAGAATATGGTTCATTTCGGCCTGGAATGTAGCGGGTGCGTTGGTGAGACCGAACGGCATGACGAGGTACTCGTAGGATCCGTATCGTGTCCTAAACGCTGTCTTATGGATGGAATTATCCGCCATCCAAATCTGCCAATATCTCGATCTCAAATCGAGTTTTGAGAATACTGTGGCTCGCCAAAGCTGGTCAAGCAGATCTTCGATCCTTGGAATTGGATACTTGTTCTTGATCGTCTGCTTGTTGAGGGCTCGGTAGTCGATGCACATGCGTAGGCTCCCATCAGGTTTTGGCGTGAAGAGCACTGGTGCACCGTATGGTGATGTTGATGGTCGAATGAGTCCCTTGTCTAGGAGGTACTCGAACTGCTTCTTCATGTCGGCTAACTCGATATGGTGCTCGGAAGGTCGGTTTTGAACCAGGTTCTTCGACGATCTCGTGCTGGTGGGTTCGGTATGGCGGCAACTGGTCTGGAAGGTCGTCAGGAAGAACGTCTTTGAACTCCTCCAGGAGTTTCTGAATCGCAGGTGGAAGCTCAAACGTCTTCTTCTCTTCTTTGTCCTCGTTAGTAACCAGTGCGACGAACCCTACCATGGTTCGCTTCACGTCTTTCTCGAAGCGTGCGATAGTCTCCTCCGGAATATCTCCTGTGTTGTCCCAACTGGGAAGTGGAACTCTTCTATATTGAGTGTAGATACTCGCCGTGCGGGTTACCCAGTTGATCTCCGGGTTGAACTTCTTCAAAAAGTCTCTCCCAAGAATCAAATCTAGCCCTTTGATGTTAGTGACGGGTAGGGTCGGTATTCAGCGAAGAGGACCCATCTATAGGAGTAGCTCTGCTTCACCGTAGACTTGTAACTTGCTTCCGTCAACCATCGTAGCTGTAAAGCTTGAAGGCGTGCACTCCTCATTAATGCGTTCGAGAGTTGTTTTGTCACATACTGAATGGGATGCTCCGCTGTCCACGAGTGCTTGGAGGCGTCGTCCATTGCAGATCACCTCGAGCAGAAGTGGTTGGCGTTGCTCGCTGTACCCGTTGATCGTCTCGTTGATTGGATCGTAGGGCACATCCCATAGCTCCGTGTCTTTTCCTGGGGTGGCAGATGGCGAGTTCTGCCTTTTCCTATTGCCATGATTTTTTGTTTTCGTCGACGACGTGGTTCTCGAGCTCGTAGTAGAATTCCCTCGTAGGGTAGGTGTTGCAGATATTGCAGATATTGCAGACCTTGCAGATGTTGCAGATGTTTCAGATGTTTCAGATATTTCAGATGTTTCAGATGCATTTGTTGAGGAGGTTTGAGGTCGTCGCAGCTTCATATTGACCTCCAGCTCCCTCTTGAGCTGCTTCAGCGCCACCGACTTCTTCCGTGGGGACCGGTTGGTCGACGTGGGCTGGTTGTTCTGAGAGAGGACGATGTCGTCGTTGGAAGGTCGATCTTGTGAAAGTTGGAACGAGAATGATTGCATTGAGCAGCATGAGGAGTACAAGTATCAAAACCTAGAATGTTGTACCCCGTATGAGCTACCCCACTACAGCCTACACAGACTATAGTGTATAAGTTTGACACACCCCCATAGGCAAAGTGGGGGAGAACAAGGGGTCACAAGACCAGTCAAGCAAAGCAGGGCAAGGCAAGCTCAGGGTGGATCACAACGTCACCACACAGTCCGAGCACAAGTTCAAGGCCAGAAGGCCAGTTCACATGCAAGGGTACATATATATAA